CCGCAAAAAAAAAAAAAAAAAAAATGCCACCTTTCTTTAAAAGTGTGGGAGATGTGCCAACCTGCTTTGGGCAGTAAGCACAGAATTCATTATTCAGGTTTCTTCAGCCATCTTCCCATTCAGTTTGGGACCCCATGTCTTACCTGGATTTCTGATCTCTCTTACTCCACTCTCATCACCCAGCTTCTCACGAACGACCTGGGAGGAGTGAGGGCACACCCTCACTTCACAGGGAGGGGTTCAGGGTGAGGCCTTAGGGGCCAGTTGGCAGCCAGTGGGGAGGACACTGGAGGGACACATGGTGTCCAGTTCTTGACCCTTTGATAAGGAACCCTTCCATCTCCACTGAGGCTCAAACCCTAACCAACCTCCTCCACGCATACCTCTGACCTAGGGGCTGGGATAGGGGAGGGGAGGCAGGGGTGTATTCTGGAGGGCACACCCCTCCCAGCCTTGGGAGGGAGGTACTGAGCAGGCCCCCTTTCCGCAGGCTCCTTTGCTGTTTAATGGCTGTCGTTCCGGCGAAATCTTTGCCATTGATCTCCGTTGTCGAAACGAGGGCAAGGGCTGGAAAGCCACCCGCCTGTTACATGACTCAGCAGTTACCTCTGTGCAAATCCTGCAAGAGGAGCAATGCCTGATGGCATCCGACATGGCCGGAACGGTACGGGTACCACTGACTTTCTCTAGCCGCTGGAGCTGGCGCTGGGTGCGGGGAGGGGCTCTGCAGGAGAGACCCTGATGTCAGACGGCGGCAGGGGAAAGGCATCTGGAGACCAGGTGAGTTGTGAGTTGTGCGGGGCAGCTGCTTTGCTGCCCGCTGGGAGCCCAGTCTGGTCTAAACAGACGTGAAACTGGTCATGGTGCTTTTGATGGACTCTGTGGCTCGGGGGTTTGAGATATATTTTCTAACTTGAAGAGGTCTTTGGAGACCACCTCGCCCTCTCTGGCTTCATGCCTGGGCTTCACCAGTGTACCTGTTGGACCCTCCATAACCGCCCCTTGTGCTTCTTCCCACAGATCAAGCTGTGGGACCTGAGGACCACTAAGTGTATTAGGCAGTACGAAGGGCACGTGAACGAGTATGCCCACCTGCCCCTGCACGTGCATGAGGAAGAAGGAATCGTGGTGGCAGGTACCCGGGGAGGAGGAGATCATCCCATCAAACCCTGTCCCTTAGGAGCGCCAGCAACTTAAGCAGATAAGGGAGAAATTACTCTAAAATGAAACTGAATAAAGGGGATTTTGGACAGTTGGGGGTCAGGGAGTTAAGATGGGATGTAGAGTTGGACATTAGTTAGCAACAGTTTTAACACTCACCAGGTGGATAGCCCTGTGTCCCCACGTGACTGGGCAAATGTCACTTCAGTTACAGGCGAGTGAGGAGCAATAAAACATAGTGGTTTAGGAGACCTGGGTGTGGAGTTTAAGCCTGTTCACCAGGTCAGCATTCAGTGTGACCCTCAATCCCATCGTGCAGCTGTCCTGTCGGAAAGCTTGAGCTCCCTGTTCCTTGTACTCCCGTTTCCACCAGAGGATGCTAAGTAAAGAGATGGAGGTCATTGTAAAGGAACCTGGTTCCTTTAACACCACTGCTGTGAACCCATGATTTGTAGAATAGAAGCAGAGCTTTCTAGCACCAAACCCCCTTGAAAGGAGTTAACAAGTTGATCACAGATTATATGATTATTTGGCAGTTTGACAAACGAAATAGTAGGCCCTTGGCATTAAGGAGAATGTTTCCAGTCTTCACAGATGTCAAATTTTCTAATATTCCTACGGAAAGTATTTATTTGCTATGAAACTTTCTGTGGCTAAGAAGCATCACTTGGCTAGAACTTTCTTAGACTTATTTACTACTGTCACTACCACCAGTAATTAGTTTCCTTAAGTCTGTTTTCCACAAATTTTCATCTCCAGAGAGTTTCTGTGTTCTGGACAGTAGAAAAGATATGAGCCTTGTTGAGAGGCAGATGTGGGGAGTGGGCTGGCTGCAGTAATCCTTGAATTGTACAACCTGAATGAACCACAGCTAAGGTCATAGAGTCAACTCAGATGGTCAAAAGCACACTAAAATCCGTGACGCCTAAGGTCTGCCCTTCTCCCCCTGAAGATCTCCAGTAGCACATATTTCCTATCTGAGTTGCTGTAACCAGTGGTGTCAGGTGTCAGATTCCTCTCAACTATGAACCCTGAAAGACTATGAAGTCTTATGAACTGAATCATTAAACCAGAAAATGCTCTGGGAAGAGTTGTCACCTGATTTGTTCCCAGGATGTAATGAAGTTATGAGATCTTCCTGGTTACTCTCATAAAAAGGAAATCAGCTGCATGTCATCTAGAACAGGTGGCCTGGGCTCCCTCTTGAATAGCCCTTGTCACCAAGAAAAGCAGAATGGGTCACCTGATAGCCAAGATGCCCCGTGAACACCCCAGGGTGTCACAGCCAGCCAGTGCATCTTGTCACTTTGAACACCTGCAATCAGTGGTTCTAGAGCACCAGGGCAACCTGTATCTTTAATTTTCTTTCTTATTCATTCATTCATTTATGGCTGCGTTGGGTCTTTGTTGCTGTGCACGGCCTTTCTCTAGTTGCGGCGAGCGGGGCTACTCTTCATTGCAGTGCGTGGGCTTCTCATTGCGGTGGCTTCTCTTGTTGCGGAGCGCGGGCTTCAGTAGTTGTGGCGTATGGGCTTAGCTGCTCCACGGCATGTGGGATCTTCCCAGACCAGAGCTTGAACCCGTGTCCCCTGCATTAGCGGGTGGATTCTTAACCACTGCACCACCAGGGAAGTCCTGTAACTTTAATTTTCAAAAGGGACATCTTATCAGTAGAAATAATTTCCATTTGTGAGTTTGTCTGGCTCATGTGAAATCACCTTTAGCCCTTAGGAATCATAGACGCCAGGGCCACAGGTACACAGGCTCTCTGCATTCTCTCACTAATTTGCCGCGTGTCTTCCCTCTTTCTTAGTGGGCCAGGACTGCTACACGAGAATCTGGAGCCTCCATGATGCCCAGCTGCTCAGAACCATACCCTCCCCACACCCCACTTCCAAGGCCGACATTCCCAGTGTGGCCTTCTCTTCTCGGCTCGGGGGCTTCCGGGGAGCGCCAGGGCTGCTCATGGCCATCCGGCAGGACCTTTACTGCTTCTCCTACAGCTAATTCTGCAGGTTGCAGCCTGGAGAGGCGTGGATGTGACTCGGGAGCATAGGTAGTCATATTTTTGCCACAATTGCCATTTTCAGTGAGGGCATTTCAGATGGATGCTCTTGTGTATGCATATCCCATCCATCCAGCTGCTGGGGAAAAGGTGCTATATTTTATGTGGAGACACTTCAGTTAAGTTATTTCAGTTAAGTTGTGGGTTCAAGAAGCTTAAAAGTCCTTTTCATAAAAGGTACCTGTTTCCTTTTCTTGCTGAATTCCTTAGAATAGTTCCTCCACCTTTTTTTTTTTTTAAACAAAAAATACTTTTCTAAGGGCTGAAGATTGACAATAACTAAAGCTGCTGCTTTCACCAAAAGCCCTTTCAAGAAGCCTGATGATGAAACTGGGTGAGACTGTTGACAGTCAGTGCCTGGGTCCCAGAAAGACATGCATCTATACTTGAGAAAGCCAGCTGGAGAGAAGGGGGAGTCAATTATCTGAGTCTCTAGAGATTTTACGGCTGAGTTGGGAATCATTAAACTAGCCTTCTGAAACTCACTCGATAACCAGTGTCAGACCTCTGGGATTCTCATTCATTACCATGTATAAGCATTGTAAGGAAAGATGGATCCTTTTAGATGCTAGACAGGCCTTAGCATGCATATGTTGAAGTACCTTCCAGAATGTTAGGTACAGCAGCTCCTGTTTCTATCATGGTGACCTGAATGTCAGATTCAAGGGCCCCATCTCAAAGAAAATTGGCTTTGACTTTCGTAATCTAGGAGAAGCAGTTTGTGAGATGTTTATACAACGCATTAATACAAAGAGCCTTTCTACCAAACAATAAACTAGAACGTAGAAAGAACCAGACATGGCATGTTGCTTCTGTTAATGGTTTGGAAGATCATGATGCTTGGCTGCTGTAGCATCAAACCAACATCTGCTCAAACCCAGTGTGAGGAAGAAACTGAGACCAGTTTTAATGGCTCTGCTGGAAAGCTTCCACTTGCTCCTGTGCCCCAAGAAGCTGTGGACTACCTCAGCAGGCTCCCTGGCCCAGGGTGGGTTCAGCCTATGGGAGGTAGAAGCAGGAAAGCAGAAGGCAGAAGATTGAGGGATTGTTAGTTCCCTGACTCCCCTTCTGCTGGGGTGTGGTGGGCTGTGGTTGTGTTCCTCTACCCAAGTCTGCAGCTTCTGCCGGAACACAGCTCTCTGGATTCCAATAACTTCTCTCCATTTGTCCCTTCAGACCTACAGCTGATATTGCATCTCACTGTTGCTAGCCCAGGAGGCTTCACCAGTTGAACTCTCTTCAGGTACCCCCTTGAGTGTTACGCATCTGTGTCCTGCCAGAACCCTACTATGTACAGAGAGAGCAATCCAAAAAACATGAGAGTATCAGATTGGTCATCTGGTAGATGAGCAATATGTTACAACAAATATTTTTAGTGCCTTAGGTTCTATAAATAACTTTCCTCCACCTTAGCTGACTTGATCCTTAAAACAGCGTATGTAGGAGGTAGGGCAGTAGTAATAATATAAAAATTATTAGCATCATTTTCTGGGCACAGAGAAATTGAATGACTTGCCTCCACGCAGACCTGTTAAGTGGAGAGCTGGGACTTGGAACCAGAAGAGATCACGTTCTCTACTTTCCACACTCCTCTATTTGCTGACAGTACTTGTGTATCACACACAGCTAGTGCTAAGGAGAAATCACAAAGTGGCTTGGTGCGAGTGTAAACATGCAGTGCTAACATTTCATATTTAATTGCTAAGTAAATGAATTTTTCTGGCACTCACCAAAGACTAAGAAGCTTGCCAGTTACCAAATTTCTTAGGTGTTTGTTTAATCTTTGAGACATCACCCCTGTGTCTTTACAGCCTTGGCATACCGACCTGCACGTAGGTCCCAGGAAATAGCTGTATGATTGAAGGGTCCTGGTGACCGCAGTCACAGCAGGGTCTTTTGGATTAATTTTGGTGACATGCCCCTCCCCAAGAGCACAAAAAAGCATAAGTGCTGAGCCATGACCCTAATATCACTCATACTTTTGCCCCCAAAGTTAAAAGTTCTCACAACATACTAGTTTGTTCATTACATGATCTGCTCTTTACAGTCACTGGTATTGCACCTCTGGTGAAGAGCCTTTGCCACTATTCTGTACTATTTCAGTGGAGCTGTGGCTATTCAGTCCAACTTTGATCTCATAGACAGTGGAGACGACTGACTACTCAGAATGCCTGGTGAGTTCTGACATGTGGGGCTCTATCCCCATATACCTTCCTAACTCATCAGCTGTGCCATAGACCAAATTTCTTGCTAGGCAAATACAGTTGTCAAAGAATTAGTTTTATGTTTCCCTTAGGCTTTTAAGAAAAGGAGGTGGGGGACATCTTCAAAATCTGCTCTTTATCTTTAGTGAGCAGTCACTCACTGCTCCTAACATTTGGTCTAGAGCAACGGTCCCCAACCTTTTTGGCACCGGGGACCGGTTTTGCAGAAGACAGTTTTTCCACGGACCAGGGTGGGGGGCGGGGCGGGGGAACAACAGCAGATGAAGCTTCGCTTGCCCGCCGCTCACCTCCCGCTGTGCAGCCCAGTTCCTAACAGGCCACCAACCAATACGGGTCTGTGGCCCAGGGGTTGGGGACCACTGGTCTAGAGTATATGAGAAGTGGTTAAACTCAGCAGAGAAGCTGATTAAGCATTTTGGTATGTTTGCTTCTTAGTGTCCCAAAGATTAGTATGTTGCACAGTCTGGAAGCATTTTTCACTTGCAGGTCTGTTAGGGCATTTTGCCCCATTCCCCAGATGACAGTGAAAGATAGCGAATGAGCAGGGGGTGGTGGCAGCAGCACTGAGCTCCAATAAACCCTTTGCTGTTTGCTTGCTGTAGCCTTCTAAACAGATGAGAACAGTGGCACAAACTGGTTACCAGAAATGTCCACAGATCAACACTTGTTGTCCCCCAACAAAGGCACCCAGAGGCCAAGTTAGCCCCACTTACCTGTCAGCCCTCGATCTGCCCTGGTCTAAATCTTCCATGTAACCACCTCTGAAAACAACTGCAGGCTAAACTCAGTTTCTTCTTCCATTTCTCCATTCATGTATGTTAGTAAAAGCCTTTCCTTTCATTTTTATTTATTTTCTTTGGCCGCACCACGCTGCTTGTGGGATCTTAGTTCCCCGACCAGGGATTGAACCTGGGCCGTTGGCAGTGAAAGCACAGAATCCTAACCACTGGACCTCCAGGGAATTCCCTGGGCCCACTCCTTCAAGTCTGCCTCTCCAGGCCACCCACCACATGGCCACTCCACGGGAATGACCTTCCCAAAGATCCCTGCACTCAACGCCTTCTTGTACCTCGGAATAAAATGTGCGGCATCTTGAGATTTGACCACATGTGCCTCACCCTGTTGCCCCTTCTCCACCTTCCACCTGGTGCTCTCAGGACACGTGTTACAAGTCCCTCCGTCATCTGGGCCTCTGCTCAAGCTGTCCTCCACTCCTTTCATCTGTTGAGTCTCAGTTTCACAGAAACCTCGAGGAAGCTTAGTTTCCCCAGCACTTGGCACATCTAGACACTTAGTATGTTGAATGAACAATTTTTGCCAGCATTATTCCCTTTTAATTCTTAGAACCCTACGAAGCACGTGAAGGTCACTCCTATATACCAAAGAAAAAACTGAGAATAAAGCAATTTGCCCAAGGTCTCCTGCTAATAAGTAGCAGAGCCAACGGGGTCTCCTGCTCAAGAAATCTGTTAGGCCCCATGTGTTGGAGGGGATGGAATTTTTACTTTTCCTCTGGAAGTTTAAGATCTCCTTAAGATAATTTTCCGGGACTTCCCTGGTGGTGCAGTGGTTAAGAATCCACTTGCCAGTGCAGGGGACACGGGTTCAAGCCGTGGCCTGGGAAGATCCCACATGCTGCAGAGCAACTAAACCCATGTGACACAACTACTGAGCCTGTACTCTAGAGCCCATGAGCCACAGCCACTGAGCCCGTGTGCCACAACTACTGAAGCCCACGTGCCTAGAGCCAGTGCACCACAACGAAGAGTAGCCCCCGCTCGCCACAAGTAGAGAAAGCCCGGGCGCAGCAACAAAGACCCGATGCAGCCAAAAATAAATTAATTAATTTTGGGGCTTCCCTGGTGGCGCAGTGGTTGAGTCCGCCTGCTGATGCAGGGGACACGGGTTCGTGCCCTGGTCCAGGAAGATCCCACATTGCCGCGGAGCGGCTGGGCCCGTGAGCCATGGCTGCTGAGCCTGCACTTCCGGAGCCTGTGCTCCGCAACGGGAGAGACCACAACAGTGAGAAGCCCGCGTGCCGCAAAAAAAAAAAAATTTTTTTTTAAAGAAAAGAAAAAGATGAACCCTGGGTATGTAGGGCAAGAAAAGAGAACCTTTGGTTATTTTGACACCGGGTTACCTTCCTTTCCTCTACCGGTCTGACTAGTGTAAGGAAGAGAGTTCGGAAGACTTTTATGCATCCTCCCTATGTGGTCCAGCATCCTCCCACGCGCAGGGGCGCCCCTAAATGACAGAACAGGAGACAGTGGATAGCGGTTGTTCAACAGGAGCTGAACAGACAAAGCAAGGCAGGGCAAAGGAACAAAGAGCGACAGATACAAAGGGAAAAAACAGTCTTTTCCCAGTGTTTCCATAGGTCACTAGTAACACCTACTCTCTTCTGTGATAGAGCATTCGCTGGGGAATAAACAGGTATTTACAGGTAAAATATACCTCTCACTTGGCTTCCGCTCTAAAAGCCACCAGCTAATTTCTTAACTAGAAAGAGGCAGCAAGATACACTGATGAAGTTAAAGGAAAGAAGCAGCACAGTCCATATTCTGCAGGAAGATTCCTTTATAACGGCGAATTTAATAATACACAGTACTAGAGCAGGGCCTCGGTCATAGGCCATAGGAGGCAGTAAGGAAGCAGGTCTGAGAGGGACCAACACATTCCAGGGCTCACGTCACAGTAACACTCACACCGAGAATGACCGCCACGCACCTCCCTGAAGCTCGGCCCACCCACCAGTTCAGTCACGAACTGTGTCACTTTTAATTCTTCATTTTTGGCCACTGACGATAAAATCCACCATGATGACAGGATTTCAGCACAACAGTCTCTTTCCAGTCACGATAGAAATGGATGTCCCAGCTCTTGAGAAACAAAGTTCATCTGACTTCTCTTGCCAGGACCGGAGAGAGAATTTTTTCTTAGTGGTCTGTTGAAATATTTATATATACTTTAAAAAAACCCCACTAACAGTCCATTCTGTGCTCTGTTTCCCTGGAAGATTTCTCATGATCACCCCTCCAATAGCTAGAGGGGTCGTATTTCTGGGAATAAAGAATTAAGATGCTTCAAAACAAGCAAAAACCCTAGTGCAACACTCAGTAGGTGGTGGGCTCAAGGGGGTTGGTAGGGGAGGGAAGCAGGTGCTCTGTTTCTGGGCAGGGAAAGCCAAGTGGTCGCACAGAAGGAAGCATCAACAAGCAGGAAACACTGCTGGGGAAGGCCCATCTCCTTCTGTGTTCCCCCTGTATGAGGGCCATCGCGTCACCTGCACTTGGACTTCTGAGGTCTGAGGACCGTACCCCCCACCTGCCACCCATCCATGACCTGCATGCTAAGCTGGGTGGTCTCTGACCACAACAGGCCTAGGCAAGGAACTGGGATCCGACTCTGGAGGGCCCAGGGAGATCCTCCACAGGCTATCCCGAGCGAGAAGTACCTGGGAAGCTCACTTGCCCCAGCAGCTGAAGGGCATGAAGTCTTCGAAGGCTCAGAAAGCAGCAAAAGGTGACTAGCAACACAGTGGCCTTGGACATGGCTCGGTTTTGTGGGGAAGACCTGCTGCCACTGCCACCTGATTCTGTGCTGGGGACAGACTGTGCAGGTCTTCACAGCCAGCAGCAGCCTGAATACACTCCACGTTCCTTTCATATGTATATACAGGTAGGTGTGTGTGTGTTTGTGTGTGCGTGCGTGCGTGTGTGTGTGTTATGTATAATTTTTAACTGAAATAAAATGCGATGGATTCAGGTTCGTTCCCCTTCGCTGTAAGCTGCTCGGTCCCCTGCCCTGAGGGGTTCGTGCCACCAGGCCCGCCACCAGGCTCACCCTGGCTCGCCATCTGTCCTACCCCCCACCGTGGGAAAGTGGCCTCAGGATGAGCAGAGAGGACACATACCACAACAGGTGACCAGGAGGAGGGCCTACCTCAGCGAGATTTCATTTCTAACCCTGAGAACCTAAGGAATTGTGAAGGACTCGGAGAGGGAGCTGGGGTTAAAGGTCACCAGGCTTTTTATTGCAGTTAAAGCAGACTCGGACAGGATGGTCCCAGCCTCGAGAGGGGACAGCCCGTCGGTCATGGGAACACTCGTCACAGAAGCCCTGTCCGCAGGCCCGGCAGTGGTGCTTGGAAAGCTTGATGCTGAACTCCTTCCGGCAGTTATGGCAGTGCAGGATCTCATGGTCTGGTACCCAGTACGCCGGCCTGGCCGCATCTTTCACCAGACCTGCAGCACGGAAGGAACCATGGCAGGCGGCACACATGGGACCCATCACCCCGAGTTCCATGAGGCAAGAAGCCCTCCGCAGACACTTCACTGGCTCTCAGTCTAACTGCACACAGATCACCCCCTTCCACCCAGGTCTCCTTCACCACCTACCACCCAGGTCAGGATCTCTGGGGCTGAGACCTAGGCACTGACATTTGTGTATCTATTAAGCTCTCCAAGTGAGCCTAAAGTGGGGCTGAATTAAGAACCAATGGAGTAACAATAAAGAAGTTTGGGCTTTGGAGTCAGGACATACCTTCACCCCAGTTCCACTGAGCCTGAGTCAGTTGGTAGCTGCGGGATTAAGAAGTTCCTTAAATTCTCAGGGCCTTAGTTTACTCATCTTTAACAACACACCTTCAAAAGTGGTTACAAGATTACAAGAAATAATGTGTCTGATGCACTGGGACCCAATGGCCAGTGAGTGCTCAGCAGGTGAGCGCCAAGACTCTGTGCCAAGGGCAGCCCCTGCCTCTCGCGGTTACCCCTGAGAGCAGAAGCAACCTGAGCATCAAGCCTCGACAAATCCATCTATTCCCACACCCTTAAGTCAAAAACTCATCATCAGCTCATTCTGTGAGCCACAGTGATTAAATCTGATCCAAGCAATTTCCATCACACCCACCCAGGAACCCTTGGTCTCTCCCCTACAATGGGCATAAATACCCAAGGCCCAGCCAGCCCTGCCTAAGCCCTCCACACGCTGGTGGGGCTTCCCTTCCTCTCCCTCTTCCCATCCTGGTTATAAGCACCCCTCACATTCAGAGGTGAGTGGCTGTCTTAAATCTTAAAGGAATAACAGTTTGGCTGGTGTGGCGGATTAAAGACAGCCACAAATTCTTTGATAACCTGCCCCCTCCCTCGAATCTAGGCAGGCTCTGTGACTACAGCAGACTGTAGTAGAAGAGAGAGTTTCTAGGCCCAGGCCAGTCCTGAGCCACCATGTAAGAAGCCCACTGCCACTGAAGAAACCACGTGGAGAGGCCTGGAGAATATGGGGAACGGTGGGGGGAGTTCTCCTGAGCCCAGCCTTCGAGGCATCCCTGCCAGGCTACCCAGCATGTCAAGTGAGGTTGGCTTGGCCCCTCAATACCAGTCCAGCTACCAAACTGGAAAATCCAGCAGTAATTCCAGTCAATGCCACTTGGAGCAAAATAATTGCCCTTCCTGTGAGACATGATAAAATGTAGGTTGTTTTAAGCCTTTACATTTTCAGGTAGTTTGTTATGCAGCAGTAAATGATATAAGAGGATGGCCTCTAGGAATAAACATGAAACCACCAACGTATTCAGCAGAAGCAAATGTAAATTTTCAGTCACTTCCTTGCTGCCCAACTCAATCTAGGTCAGTAAGACTTTGACAAAACAGCCCAAGGCACTATGAAAGCCCTCATCCCACATACACTGCACCCAAGAGAGGCACTGCCAGGCCCACCTAGTGGTATGTCAATGGCTGTCACCACAGCTCCCAAAGTGTTCTGCACGGCCTCGCCCACCTTCCGAGCAATCAGCGTCCCACCTTCATCATCCGCCTGTGCCTCAGTAACATCTGCAGACAATGATGAAGGAAAAGCTGTTATCTCTTAGTCATTTCCCAAATGGAAAACTCAGGGGCAACAGCAGAGCATTCTGGATGCTTCTCCCAGGGTACCGCTGTGCTGTCCTGCAAGGATGGAAAGGGTCTAGGCTATGGGCACCAACGCTGCAGCCGGTGAGATCTGTTAGTCCTTTACCTCAACCCTCTGGGGCTATTTTATAACCTTCCTTTACAGTGAGCCAGAAGGGTTCAAGGAGCATGACCTAGAACCTCCTCCAGAGATAAGACTCAGTCTAAAGCCTGTGGTAAACACAGGACAGGTTTAACACGCCCCCTCCCCCCCGCCCCGCAAGGAATAGCACCCCAGGACCCTGTTAACAAAGAACTTAGAGGATGACTGGGCAAGACCGGGGAGCAACTACTCTCAGAAGAGTGATGTGGTGAGGAACAGGGTCAGGCAGGTGGGAGTCCCGTTCCCAACACCCAGTGCCAAGGAGAGAGGTTCCCCCTCCACCCGTGCAGTTCCCGGGCCCCACGTTACCTAACTGGGAATTCCTGGCTTCATAGCAGTTGTCACACACCCGCACGGGCGCAGGGCCCCAGCCCCGCTCCGGCACTGGCCGGGTCTTGGATGAACAGCTGTCACAGAAGCCCTCCCCACAGGCCCGGCAGTGATGCTTGGTGTCGTTATCTTTAAAGGATGTAGCGCACTTGTTGCAGCTCTGTTCCAAGCCCAAAACAGAGAGGCAGGTAACATTCATGTCTGCTCAGCTGAGAAAGTCAACCCGGGGGAGATGCCCAGGACCATCTGGGAATGGCAGGACCCCAATGATCCCAAAGGACGGGACCTAAGATCTCCAGCCACATGAAAATACCCCTTACTGAAGCACAGCTGTGATAACATTTTCTTCCAAGAAGTGCCTGAAAAGGTACCAAATCCATCTGGCTGAGTCACAGGGTTCCAGAAGGGACTACACCAATTCCAACTATGAGAGCAATGAGGATTCACTGCTTTCACGGCTTCTCAACAGAGCCCCTGGGAAGCTGATGAGGAACGGGTTTCCTGTCACAAGTGCTTGGGCCAAAGCTGGGTGCTCCCTTGCTGTAGGTGCCATGAGGTTTATGTCTCAAGCTGAGGATGACCCTAAATGACCTCTAATGGCCCCTTTTCCTCCAGATTCTATATGTATGACCTCAGACATCTGACCAATAATAACTGGCCCTTGCAGGGAAAGAAACTAAAATCCACCGCAAGGAAAATACTTGCAAAATAACAAAGGGAAATCAGTGGGCAGAGAGGACACTGGCTGCCTCAACATACCCCACCCTTTCCAACACTCTGAGAGCTAATCCGAGAGAGAAATTCAGAACCTCCCTCACAGAGCAAGCTTAGGACAGGGCAAAGCGGCACAAGCAGAATGGGCCGTGCCAGGGATGCAGGGCATCCTGCCACACCATACCAGGATCTGGGAGTTGGGCCTCCAGTAGGCAGGGGCGATTTGGTCGGTCAGCCAGGACGTCACAGCCTTGGTGGGCCCAAGGCTCAGCTCAGACACCGACTGAGCCATGAAGTTCATCCCATCCAAGAGGCGCTGGGCAGCATTGTTGTTGTCCTTCAGAAATCCATCAGTCTGAAATGAAAATGCAGGCTCCCATCATGCTCTGAGCGAAGGGAGTAAAACGAAGGAGAGAGAGGGGTCTCAAACAAGTTATACACTCATCACAGCCAACTCAGAACCACAAACTCCCTGGCAGAGAAGAACGGGGACGGGCCAGGAAGCCCTCTGGCTTCTAGACAATATCACACCCATGAGTCATTGCTGATATTATTATTCTCTTCAGGGTGACCATAACACTTGATGCACAACTGTTCAATTCAGAACTTACTTTGCTGTAAGTGAGATACACAACCCAGGAAATACTTATGTTAAGAAGACACCTTGGGCTTCCGTGGTGGCACAGTGGTTAAGAATCCGCCTGCCAATGCAGGGGACACGGGTTCGAGCCCTGATCTGGGAAGATACCACATGCCGCGGAGCAACTAAGCCTGTGCACCACAACTACTGAGCCCACGTGCTACAACTACTGAAGTCCACGAGCCCATGCTTCACAAGAGAAGCCACCACAATGAGAAGCCGCGCACCACAACGAGGAGTAGCCCCCGCTCGCTGCAACCAGAGAAAGCCCGAGCACAGCAATGAAGACCCAACACAGCCAAAATAAGTGAATAAATAAGAGGGTTAACATAAATTATTAAAAAAAAGAGGACATCTCTTCCAGGAGGCCTCCCACCCCAGACTGGGTTAGGAACCCTTCATCTCAGTTCCTCTAACATCTGCACATCTCTAGAAATCCTATTTCCACATATAAGTGCAATGTCTCTTTATGCATCCAACTCCCTATTAGACTGAACTGAGAACAATAATCCTTTTTCTTTTTTGTAAGTATCTAGTTCAATTATGGGCACACAGTACTCAACAACGTATGGTGATGAATGAGTGAACAAAGAGAAGGGGAGGAGCCTATATTTCCTAATCCCAAGGACTATGAGGAATACAGCCTAAAAATAAACTGGTATTACTGTTTTCTTGGAATATAAACTACCACAAGGATGATAGCTTTTACAAGAAAGAACACAGATCGAAAACAAAAGATACTGATCAAAGAAGTCTAGTGAGAAAGTTATACTAGTTCAAGACCACGTTAAATTCTTGGGACAGAATGGCCTGGACCATCATGTCAAGGGGGCGGCCTGCAGAAATGAGACCACACTGCAGTAACCAATTCCAGTGCAGCTGGAAACTGGAAAGATGACAAAACAATAAGGACATCTTTAGTTCTCTGGTATCTGCAGGATCCAGGAAAGCTCAAAGGTGGATCTGCAGATAGACCTAGTAGGCTGACCGGTGGCTTTAGGAATCACCCAGCAAGGGGAACACCACCAAGTAAAATAAGTCCCTTAGAGAAAATCGCTTATCTTTCTTCCGTGAAGGAACAAGGTTTTGGATGTGTTGTGACTGATGGGTAATTTCAAGTGTGAATGGTGGTTTAATGCAGAATGAAAGCACCATATCACTGCCTTATGAACAGATTTGTTTTTCCAACATCTTGAATTCAAAAGTCAAATTAAAAACAGTAAAGGTCCATCCATAGTGATTCCACTTCTCAGAATATACTTCAAGAAGAATATACTCCAAGAAGAATATACTCCAAAACCAAGTCTCTCTTACATGAAGATGGTCACTATAGCATTTTCGATAATAAAAAAAAAATCATAAACAGCATGAACAAAATTGAACTATAATACTAGACAGAATATTACACAGTAATTACAAATGAGAACTGTGAAAAGTGAAAACAATGTAGAAACAAAGCAAAATTGTGTATGAGAAAAAAGTAGTTAAGTGGCACACAAACTGTAACTGCATCTATACAAACATACACATATGGAAAATGAGTAAGGAGAATATGAAAAAATAAAGTTTTATTTGCTAAGGCAATGTAACTATACAGCAATTTTTAGTTTATTTAAAGTTGTGCTTCTAGGGACTTCCCTGGTGGTCCAGTGGTTAGGACTCCACACTCCCAATGCAGGGGGCCTGGGTTCGATCCCTGGTCGGGGAACTAGATCCCACATGCTGCAACTAAGAGCCCGCATGATGAAACTAAGACTTGGTGTAGCCAAATAATTTTTTTTTAATAAATAAATAAAGTTGTGCTTCTAATATTTATGCAAGAAGAAATGGAAAAAATGTAAGGGTCTAGAACAAGAAAGGCTCTCCAGATCATACCTTCCTAAACCACCAGTATATTGAAATTCATGGTTAACCTTAATTGTAAACAAGTTCTGCTTTCCCACACACAGGACTGGACAATACAAGAGAAAACAGGAAAATAAAACAGCTCTTACTCCAGGCCACACATGCACAATCTCTGTCCGCACCACTGTATCCACAGGATCTTGGTTTCCAAACCAGTACTGCCGGCTACGATAGACCACGCCGCAGTTGGGACATTCAATTACGTACCTACAAGGAAGGCAAATAGATACTGTAACCCCACCAGGTGCCTGGAGAGACAAACACACCAAACAACCGGTAGCTGAAACTCACCCAGACCAGGCATATTTTGCGAGACCCATCCAGGGGGAGTCGGTGGAAGCAGCCGTCTTGGGCACCACGCTGACTTCGTTGCCTCTCTCGTAGCAGGCCTGAAACATGAAGCACTCTGCCAGCTTCTGCTCTGTCCACCAGACCCCTTGGCCTCTCCACATCCCTGTCCGGCCCCACTGCCCACAAACCAGACCAGCAGAGGATTTACAGACCCTGAGTTTAGCACAACAGAAGGAAGTCTTTCTCTAAAGAGGTCAGTGCCCTAATATATACAATGGAATAGTACTCAGCCATAAAAAGAAACAAAACTGAGTTATCTGTAGTGAGGTGGATGCACCTAGAGTCTATCATACAGAGTGAAGTAAGTCAGAAAGAGAAAAACAAATACCGTATGCTAACATATATATGGAATCCAAAAAAAAAAAACAAAACAGTGGTTCTGAAGAACCTAGAGGCAGGACAGGAATAAAGATGCAGACGTAGAGAATGGACCTGAGGACACGGGGAGGGGGCAGGGTAAGCTGGGACAAAGTGAGAGAGTGGCATGGACATATATACACTACCAAATGTAAAACAGATAGCTAGTGGGAAGCAGCCGCATAGCACAGGGAGATCAGCTCGGTGCTTTGTGACCACCTAGAGGGGTGGGATAGGGAGGGTGGGAGGGAGACGCAAGAGGGAAGAGATATGGGAACATATGTATATGTATAGCTGATTCACTTTGTTATAAAGCAGAAACTAACACACCACTGTAAAGCAATTATACTCCAATAAAGATGTTTAAAAAAAAAAAATCTCAAAAAAAAAAAAAAAAGGAAGTCAGTGCCCTAAATGATTATGAATTGAATGTATACCCATCCCAGGCCCCAAAACTGAGCTATAAATTATATCCCTGTCACAGACAGGAGAAATCCATCAAAACTGGGTTTCTGAATAGCATTTCTGCTCTTAAGAATGAATAGTCAATGTATGGGAATTCCCTGGCGGTCCAGTGGTTAGGACTCCACACTCTCACTGCCAAGGGCCCAGGTTCCATCCCAGGGAACTAAAATCCCACAAGCCACGCGGTGTGGCAAAAAAAAAAAAAAAAAGAAAAGAAAAGACTGATAGTCAATGTAGATGACACTTGCATATATAAACTCAACAAAATAAGGGGGGTTGAAGCTTAAAAAAATAAACCAAGGAGTCCCCAGCAACAGACATGTGAGTTCTTATGGTTAGAGCTGGAGAGAAGTTCCAGAGATATTCAATTTGAGTATCAAATACTTTGGGATGCAGCAAAGAATGGTCCCAAGCCAGTCTTCCCAAAAGGAGAGTGTGGCCGGCAAGCCAGCTGCTAGGGAAGAAGCTGGGTGGACTCACCTTGCAGGTAAAAACCCGGTTGTCATACTGGTGAGAGTATCTGCAGCGGCTGTTGGCTTCATGAGGTACTCCTTCTTTCCCATGATTCATGCTGTTCTTACATCCAGCCCTGAGTGAAGCCCAAAAGCTGACAGTGAAGCCGCTAAAAGGAGCCAGCGCAGCTTACGCTGAAGAGTCTCTGACCCTGAGCCAGACCCAGGGCCAAAACCAGAGCTCCATAATTAACCAGGCCCTGAATACTGAGCAGAGAGAGGGCAGTTTCTTTCAGAAACCCACGTGCCTCTCTCATACTTGCAATCAACATCACTACACAGGTAAAGCAACTATTACTCTTGTGTGAGGAGAAAGGGCCAAAGGAGTAATCTCTTCTTGGAAAACCACCTGGTCCCTCAGTAGGAACAGAGGAGCCAGAAGACATCACCTTGACCAGATATAAAACCTGAATGGCCCTCAGGGAACTCAAAAACCCAAACAGCATGAAATGGGAAGTTTAACCAGAACAGGCTGCCAAGATGTAAAACAAAAACCGACCCTCAAAATTTGGCAGTGCATAAAAAGGAGGCTTAAGCTGAACAAGAAAACCTTCCAAATGAACAGTGAGCTCTGCTATCCTGACAACGCAAAACCAAGGATTGGGACTATAGAATTTCACTATGATAGAAGGAAAAGTTCTGGAAACCCTAGTGAGGCACAGTTAACACGGAAAAGTGATGATCTAACAGATCCTAAGCCTCCTGCTGGGCTCATGGGGCCGATAAAGGAAGGCAAGTCACACGGGCAATTACCATCCCTCCTTCCTCTCCAAGACAATGCCCAGTTCTCCGTAGCCCGGACTGTATAATCGTAGCCCGGACTGTATAATCGAAGAGCCAAGTCCTTTTTACAAACCCAGAGCCAAGGTGGTGACCCAGCAGGTGGCCTACAGGGATCAATGCAAAAAGGCCATTCATCACAAAAAAGGTTCAGGTCTCCTCTGTATGGACGAATGTGAAGGACAGGAGCAGAAGTCCTGATGAGAGCAAAGACACTGCAGTGATGAAGGGGGTGGAGAGCTGGGGGAGTGTCTGCAAGACAGAGTCTGCAATCTGACCCTGACACACTGCATTTAAATCCGCTGGGCTCCATCAGACAAGTCACCAGACTGTGATTGAAGAGCCATTAACGGCTCAAATCAATCCAGTGAGCCTCAAAGTGTGGTCCCCATCCAGCAACACCAGCATCACCTGGGAACGTATCAGAAGTGCAAGCTCTCAGGCCCTCCATCAGACCTCCTGAATCAGAAACTGGGGGTGCGGCCCAACTGTCTGTTTTAACATGTCCTTCAGGTTTTTCTGATGCATGCTAAAATTTGAGAATCACTGCTCTGTTCCCCCTGTAACAAAGTGTGATCCATGGACCAGCAGCACAGGCATCACCTGGGAGCTTGTTGGAAATGCAGAATCTCACCCAGACCTGCTGATTCAGAATCTGCATTTAACAAAATCCTGAGGTGATGCATACACGGATTAAAGTTTGAGAATACTGCCCTAACTCACTCAAGTGAGCTACGTATCAGAATCATCTGAGGAGCCTTTTAAATACACCAGTGCTGAGGCCCCACCCCAGATCTGTTAAATGAGAATCGCTGGAGGTGAGGCCCAGGCCTCCATAATTTTGAACGCTCCCTGGATAATTCTAATGTGCTCTAAGCATCTGCCCTCATTGTGAAAGCAGTTAACTAGGAATAATACCTACCCTAGTGCTTTGCACACACCGGGCTACCAAATATTAGGTGAATGGATGGAATGACTACCATTGAAAGCTCTGGTAAGAGAAACATAGAAAAACAGGCAAGCTAAAGTTTTCTGTGGTAAAAATTACCCAAACCAGAGTCAATTTTACATCTAAACCAGGTTGGAATCTTCAGGGGATTCCTCATAACCGTGTGTCCTGGGATCCCCTGCAACCTCAAAGTATGGTCCCCAGACCATCAGGATCACCTGGGAACTTGCTAGAAGTACCCCATCTCAGCCCCCACCCCATCCTTAACTCACAGTCTAATTTAACCAGACCCCACGTGATCTGCATGCACAGTGAGGTCTGCGAAGCTCCGTTCTGAGTCTCTTTGCCCAAGATGGGGACTTACCCGCAGCTGAGGCACAGGACAGAGCAGGTGAAGTACTCATCTGGAAAAAAGGAGCTGTGTGCCATCTGGTCATCGGGGATCTCACCGCTGAAGCGGTCGCTCAGGGCCTGCATGGAGGGAAGGTGATACATGAAGGGACACGGCGGACAGGCCAGAGCTCTGGCCCTTGCACAGCTTACCTTTTTTTTTTTTTTGAAATGAACTTTATTAGTTATTGTTTTCCTTTTCTTCTTTTTTTTTTTTTTTTTCCCACACCACCCAGCATGTGGAACTTCCCTGACCAGGGATCAAAACCACACCCTCTGCAGTGGAAGCACAGAGTCTTAACCACTGGACCACCAGGGAAGTCCCACTCCTTGCCTTTCTAATATGCCCTCACTGCTGGCTTATTTCTTATGGGCTCCACAGCTAGAAGAGGGAAGCCAATGACTTCTGCTCTTTACCCTAGACCTTCTTGGCCCGACTTGCACCAATCCTCACCACAGGAAACCTCAGAAAGAACCAGCCCATTTCCCACGAGGTCAGAAGTAAGCAAACAAAGTTACCGTTCTCTCCTAACTGAAGTTATAAACACCTCACACACTCTCGGTCTTTCATTCAAAACCACCAGATATTGACGAATGTCCACTTCATCTTTGTGAAGCTGGGACCAAGAAACCAACACTAAAGAAGGTGGCTTGTCTTTCAGTCAGAGGCAGGCAGAGCTGAGAAGTGAGCTGGGAGTTTCCTGGGCATCTCCACCAGTTCTAACCAAAGGTGCTCACTGGAATTTATGAAACCACAGAACTATATGTAGAATAAGGGTTAGCAGCCAAAAAGCAAGGAGGAATTATTATAGGTTCTGGCAGTCTTTTATCAACTACAGTAACCTAAAAGACAGCAAGTGGCCAGGGCTTCCGTGGTGGCGCAGTGGTTGAGAGTCCGCCTGCCGATGCAGGGAACACGGGTTCGTGGCCCGGTCCGGGAAGATCCCACATGCCGCAGAGCGGCTGCGCCCGTGAGCCATGGCCGCTGAGCCTGCGCGTCCAGAGCCTGTGCTCCGCAACGGGAGAGGCCACAGCAGTGATAGGCCCGTGTACTGGAAAAAAAAAAAAAAAAAGACAGCAAGTGGCCAAAATAAATGCTAAGAAGAAAGATAAAAGTATTTGCAGAAACAAACTGAAAATTTTATGTTTAAAGGCAGCTTCCATTTCTAAACCTCTGTTTTCACTCACTACTTTATATTGAAAGCATTCTTCAGGCTGTTTTTTTCCTTCCAGGGCCTTACTCGTATGCAGTGGAAAAAGTTATATAAATTAAACAGAAATGGGCTTTACAGGCTTTAAAAATTATTAAATGCTCGCAATTCCAAGCTTCTCTTAATCCCTCATACTGAGGCAGCCAGGCACTATTCAGGGGAAGAGAAGGAACAGTAGCTTAAAACAAAATGTTACTTCCTTTAGTAAAAAGGCAAAAGAAATTTTAAGATGAGACTTGGAAAAGGGGCAGATTAGGTTTTAAACTAAGGTTCTCAAGCTCTAAATGGAATTTCACTTAAGGAGAACTTATTTATTAAAGTTCCTTTCCCTTTTTTCAATGAAACCTAATACCCTGAGTTGTAAACGAAGTGTTTACAAAAGCACATGCTCTCAATGTTGAGTCAGGTCAGGTGTTCAGACAAGAGTAGCGGCAAAGAATGTGTCAAACTAAGGGTGAGGGCCTCACCCACGTGCATTAAAATTCAGCTCCTGCAAGGATAATGCACAGGCTTGTAAGACACCATCTGCCAGCGATGGCCAACCAAGTGGCAATCCTTGACTCAGACCAAAAAAAAACAGTCTAACAATAATACATATATGTCCTGTTCTCTTGGGGTAATTCTGTAAAGAGTAACTTAGGGAAAACAACTAAGATTTTGAGAGAGACTATAAAGGCATATACCTATCAATATTAAAGACAATAAACAAGAAGCAAGGCAAGTAGAATCACTTACTAGCCTACACCGTCCTCCTCTTACTTCAGAATGTGACCCATCTTTCGGGAACCTTTTCCATGAAGCCTTCCCAACCACTCTAGAAAGACCACGCTTTGCCTTCCCTGAGCACCTGCTGTCCTCAACATCTGAACCAGGTACTAAGTGATGAGGCAAAAGCTATGAGCCTGTTACACGTATTTTACCTCCCAGACTAGATCACTAACACCATGAAAGACATTTCCTACCTTTGTATCCTCCTCTCACTCCGAGCAAATGTCCTAACAAGTACTCAACTAGGACCTCTGGAATGAAGTGCCCCAGCACCAACCTCCATGTGCACACCAACCCCTGCCCTCTCCTCCTCACCTTGGCCCTGCCTCTGCACCAGGCTTCATCCCAGGCCCACAGGCCCTCTCTAATTTATGGCTAAGTACTCGTTGATTGGCCAAATCACTGATAACTCTTAGGGCTGTATTTCTCAAACAGCTGTGTGCATAACTCTCTGGGGCTAGCTGGTGGAAAAATAGAGCATTATCTTCCCAATGCATCAATTTACTGAAAGATATGGGGAGGAAGTTATTTTCAGATAAAAAACAAACATGGATATAGTATGAAACTAAATGGAAAATTTGCATAAATAAAACATGAGACCCCCACCAACGTTATTTCAGCTTGCAGGTGGCAGGTCTGCACTTTTTGTGCCTTTACTTCCTTATCTATAAAATGGGGGTGCTAGCAGTACCTTCCTCAGTAGGGGTCTCCATGGATTACACTGTGAAGATCAAATGAAGTTACTCAAATGAAGTGTAGAGCACTTGGCATAGACTGAGAGCTCAGAAAACGTTAGCTGCCATTATTAATATCATTTTTATTTTTTATGCTGAGAATTCCCTTATTCCCTCCCTCACTAATTCAGGTAACACAGGGGATATAAGAACTCTCTTTTCCATGATGGCTCATTGGTCTTCATGGCTGTTTGCATTTGTCAGTGAATATTTAGCTGCAAAAAGATGCTTATGTACCTAAAGCAGTGTTAAAATAAGAAAGAAAGGGCTTCCCTGGTGGCGCAGTGGTTGAGAGTCCGCCTGCCGATGCAGGGGACACGGGTTCGTGCCCTGGTCTGGGAAGATCCCACATGCCACGGAGCGCCTAGGCCCATGAGCCATGGCCGCTGAGCCTGCGCATCCAGAGCCTGTGCTCCACAACGGGAGAGGCCACAACAGTTAGAGGCCCACGTACCGCAAAAAAAATAAATAAATAAAAAATAAGAAAGAAAAAACGCAGAGCTAACTAAGGAATGCAGAAGTTACTAAAGAAGTATAAGGAAAACCAAAGAAGAGCATTTTTAGCCCCAGGTAACTGAAAGGGTAACCTAAGTACTAGTTTTCCTTAGGAAAAATAATACCAAATTTAGCATGAATCCAACAGCTGGGTTGAATTCAGAAGGCATGCCACTCCCCAGTAAATATAAAATTGCAGCCCAATAATAGTGATAAGCACAAGGTTTTTTCTGTTCCAAATTCAAGTGGCCTGGTTCACTTCTCTGAAAGTTCTTCAGAAAAATGGGGGCATTTCTAAGTGTCTCAAGGCTAAGCATAAAACGATCTGCAGCCTGATTCCCATGGGACAAATCCCCACAGAACCACCATCATCACCTGCCCTAGACATTATGTTGGCCAAGGCAACAGTAACTTCTTGTGACATCAGAAAGAGAAGAACTCCTAGACCAACCAGCCTCATCACTTCAGATGCTGGTCACCCATCCTCTCAAATGCTGGGTAACACAAGCATCTCATTTCCCTCACAAGTCACTGAAGAGCTGGCAGTCAGTAATGAATGAGAACTTACAAGCATCAGGATGACTTACTGAATCATGAGTATGTGAATAAAACAGTAACTGTTACAAAGAAAATCTGATGTTCACATGTTTTAGATACTAGGGTAAGGGGACACTGTTTTCCTTCCTCTATAACCTGATTGTTCCTTTCCAGCGTGGACATGACCACCTAATCCATATACTTCGTCCTTCAAAAACTCCAAACCTCACATCATTCCAGGGTTTCTTGGGCTCTCCTCCTCCTGAGGTCCCAAAGCCGTAAGAGGCAGGGAAGGACCTTTCCTGGGAAAGCACTTGAGGCCAATCTGGAAAAGGCTGCCTGGAGGCCAGATGATCTTGAACTTTAGTTGCCTTGGCAACAGTAGGGCTCTTACTACTGAACCTATAAGTTTAGCCCCAGTCACCAAAGGCTAGCAGTGAATTTTATGATTTGAAATGGAGACTCTTATGTAATCCATGATGCCACCCACCCCCCCCCCAAAAATATAACAACTTTATAAATACTTAAAAGGTGCTTCCTGATGTGACAAAATTAGAAAGTCAGAGTTTCTAGGTTTAGAGATCGGAGGCCAAAGGAGGTATTACATAAAACCTATCGAATTCAACTTTAAAATGGTTCTCTCCATTATTCAGAACTGTAAATACAGGCAACAATAGTTAATTCAATATTCAATTCCCTTATTCAGTAGGGACCTAAGCATCTCTTTTCTTTAAATAAACTTACTTGATCAGTGAGAATATGCCCTGCTGGTAGGTATCTGGGCTGTTGCTACTGTGGAAACAGAGCAAAGGAGTGAGTGGTCAAGAAGTCGGGGAAATAACCGAGCTGGAAAAAAGGGACTGGAGCCTGGACCACAACATGGCTAAATGGTAGGAAGAGTGATCAGGTCAGCAGGATGAATCGGGAAACACAGGGGCAAAGCAGCTAGAGCAGAAAGAGACTGTAGATCTCTCTCTCACTCACGCTCACTCGCGCGCGCGCGCACACACACACACACACACACACATTCTACAAACTTCTCAATCTTTCTCATTAATCACACTTCCTTTTCAATAACAAACATGAAAAGAGAATATGGAGAAGGAAAAAAGATTTAACTTCTCTAGGATCCGATATACTTAGGGAGAAAATATACATATACAACTTCTGTATGCACTTATGTAGCACCAAAAATTTCTAGAGGCATAAACAAAGTATTAACAACAGTTATCATACAGTGAGAGGGGAGAGGAAAGAAAGGCACTTAAGTCATATCTTACATGTTTCTGTACTATTTGAGTCATTTATCACAAACACACATTGCTTTCTAATTTAAAAAGTAACTTTTTAAAAATTAACCAAACACACAAATACAACTTATAAGAATGTCCTTTCTAAAGGCAACTGGCAATATGCATCAGGAACCTTTAAAGATGACCACACCTTCTGACCTTCTTAAAAGCTGAGTAACTACTGAGAAAGAATACAACACAGGGTTATATAGACTTGGGAGTCAGACTATCTGGTTCAAACTCTCCACCACTTATTAGAGGAGTCATCTCACGCCAATCAATGAACCTCTCTGTGCCTCCATTTCTCCACCTCAGAGTTGGTATGAGGATTAAAAGAATGAATACACGTGCGGTGTAGAGCACAGTACATGGCATTAGGAAACACTCCAGAAAGGTTGGCCAGCAGTAGTATTGGGAGTTGTAATTTATCCTAAGGAAACAGGCAGGATGTGGGCAATACCTTTAAATACTTGGAAAATATAATAAGGAAAAAGGGAAACTACTATTAAAATAAGGGCAGAGGGCTTCCCTGGTGGTGCAGTGGTTGAGAGTCCGCCTGCCGATGCAGGGGACATGGGTTCGTGCCCCGGTCCAGGAAGATCCCACATGCCGCAGAGCGGCTGGGCCCATGAGCCATGGCCTTTGAGCCTGCGTGTCCGGAGCCTGTGCTCCGCAACGGGAGAGGCCACAACAGTGAGAGGCCCGCATACTGGGGAAAAAAAATAAAAATAAAAAAAAATAAGGGCAGAATTACTAAATGTAAAAAATGATCCATTCATATAAATGAAAAAGCATGGAGCTATTTTAAAAACATGTTTTCATAGAAATATTTAATAGCATGGAAAAAATGCTAGGCTTCAATGTTCCATAAAAAAAAAAAGGTATATAAGTGTACATACATATATCACAACCCCAATTCTCTTTTTAAAATAAGTAGCAAAGAATCATATAATACCCCATTTTTATTTATCTATTTTTTGCACACTGTTTTTCTTTGCTATTACAAGGATGCTGCTATTAACTTCCTCACATAGTTCTCTGTGCTCCTGTGGGAGAGTTTCTTTAAGGCAAATTCCTAGAAATGATATGGTTAGAATGTATATTATGCATATCTTTACCTATACTATTGCATTTCAAAGTGGTTGTACTAATTTTACTTCCACTGGAAGTTTATAAGAGTTTACATTGCTTCATACCCTTTTTGACATTTTATTGCCAAACTTGTCAGTGTTTGCCCTTGCATGGTTGTGGTCTTAATTTCTTTTGATTACTAGAGAGTTGAGATTTTTTTATTTGTGCATCACAGTCTTGACTGCCTCTTATGTGATTTGTCTCTCCATTTTTCCAAAAGGTTTATACATTTTTTCCTAACACTATTCCTGCATATTTTATGTAAAATAAAAAGAAAATCATATAGGAAACAAAATCATATTGGAATATATTCCTAGGCTTCTTGAAGTGTTTACTCACTGAGTTAGTGAGGAACTGGACAAGGTAAAGCATAAATACCAGGAGAGAAAGAAAAAAAACGGAAGAATCAGAAAGCCAAACAAGTTATTTTGGCACTGATAATTTATCTGCTTATGACCATCCCTACTCTTTTGCTCCAAAAAGGATTCAAGGCTGCTTATTTTTAAAAAAAATATAGGGCTTCCCTGGTGGCACAGTGGTTGAGAGTCCGCCTGCCGATGCAGGGGACACGGGTTCGTGCCCCGGTCTGGGAAGATCCCACATGCCGCGGAGCAGCTGGGCCTGTGAGCCATGGCTGCTGAGCCTGCGCGTCCAGAGCCTGTGCTCCGCAACGGAAGAGGCCACAACATGAGAGGCCCGCGTACTGCAAAAAAAAATAAATAAATAAATAATAAAAAAACACAACACAAGGGCTTCCCTGGTGGCACAGTGGTTGAGAGTCCGCCTGCCGATGCAGGGGACACGGGTTCGTGCCCCGGTCCGGGAGGATCCCGCGTGCCGACGAGTGGCTGGGCCCGTGAGCCATGGCCGCTGAGCCTGCGTGTCCAGAGCCTGTGCTCCGCAACGGGAGAGGCCACAACAGTGAGAGGCCCGCGTACCGCAAAAAAAAAAAAAAAAAAAAAAAAAAAAGAAGAGGATTAAAAACAAAACAACAACCAGAGAAGGACAAAAACAATCTTTTCAAGGATTTGAGTAAGTTCCAAGACCCCACAGCTCCCTGGGGAGAGCCCAAAACACATGCTTAAACAGGTAACTCCTTCCCATGCACAGAGCAGTGGGCCCACATCTCAGTACAGCACAGACCCTGCCTCAGAGAACAGAAAATACAGGAGCCAGGTAAACTCTGAGGACAGCAGTTACCAAGAAGCCTCAAAACTCCAGCTGACCAGGCTCATTTTAATCACAGAAAGCTTCATGAATCATATCACTTCATAAGAATACGCTATAACTCTTTTTCTCAAAAGTACCTAACGATGGGACTTCCCAGTGGTGCAGTGGTTAAGAATCCACCTGCCAATGCAGGGGACACAGGTTCGATCCCTGGTCCAGGAAGATCCCACATGCCACAGAGCAACTAAGCCCACACACCACAACTACTGAGCCTGTGCTCTAGAGCCCGCGAGCCACAACTACTGAGCATGCGTGCCACAACTACTGAAGCCCGCGTGCCTAGAGCCCGTGCTCCACAATGAGAAGCCACCGCAATGAGAAGCCTGCGCACCGCAACAAAGAGTAGCCCCCACTTGCCACAACTAGAGAAAGCCTGCGCATAGCAACGAAGACCCAATGTAGCCATATATAAATAAATAATTTTTTTTTTTTTTTTTTTAAAGTACCTAACAAACTGGCCTGGAGTAGGGCATCCAAAACACCTAAGGGTAGAATCCCTGACCATTAACTACTGCTTAGAGCACTCAGTGTCCCTGAAGGTCTTATTTAAACTTTAAGCTGGGTTAGCTTTGAGAAAACCTAAGGAACTCTATAATCCAGCCATTGGCCTAGTCGTCAGTATTCATAGTTATCAGATTTTACAGCCCTTTGTATAACATAGCATGGATTTGGCCTCTTTTAAGAATGCTTGCAATACTTGGGTGTAATCTTCCACTTGACTACCTTTGAGCCATTACATGGACACTAGCCAATAAATCTAAGTATACTTTAACCTCAAATTCTAATTAGAAATATGTATTTCATGAATTATTCAAATATAATCATTTTTCATAGTTTTTTTCCCTTAACATTATTCACATTAGTTGACACTTATGGAACACTTACTATATACCAAGTACTTTGCTTCTTAAAGTATGCGTTCTCATTTAATCCCCTCCTCAACTTCATTAGGAACATCCTACTATTGCCCCTTTTTTACAAACGAGGAAAAACGTCTGAAGAAGTACAATAAGGGCAAGGATTGTTGTCTATCTTATTTTCCACTGTATTCCCAGCACCTGAAACTCTACCTGGCACAAAGATTCACTCATTTATTTGTTGAATGAATGAATAAACGAAAGACAAACTAATTTCCTAAGACCAAGCAGCAGGTAAATGGCAGAAATGGGATTCCAACACAAGTCTGTCTGACTCCAAAGCCCAAGCTTTTATAGTCCATTCAGGCTGCTATAACAAAATACCACAGACTGGGTAGATTATTAACAACAGAAATTTATTCCCCACAGTTCTGCAGGCTGGAAGTCCAAGATCAGGGTGCCAGCATGGTGGCCTTCCAGTGAGGGCCTGCTTTCTGGTTCACAGATGGTGCCTTCTCACTGTGTCCTCTCTCGGTGGAAGGGGCTAGGGAGCTCTCTGGGGCTTCTTCTTTTTATTTTTTTTTAACACCTTTGTTGGAGTATAGTTGCTTTACAATGTTGTGTTAGTTTCTGCTGTATAACAGAGTTAATCAGCCATATGTATACATATATCCCCATATCCCCTCCCTCTCACGTCTCCCTTCCTATCCCACTCTGGGGCTTCTTTTATTTTTTTTTTTGGGGGGGGGGCTTCTTTTATAAGAGCACTTTTATAATGTCACTTATGAGGGCTCCATCTTGATGACCCAATCACCTCCCAAAAGCCCTCCATCACATTGGGCGTTAGGATTTCAACATATGAATTTTGGGAGGATACAAACACCCAGCCTTTACCAAGCACTATGCAAAAACCATAAACCATTTTTGAGGGGTAACTTTTCATCCACCATCCCCCCTTTCTCTTTTTAACTTTTCATTTTGATATAATTTCAAACTCGTAGAAAAGTTGCAAGAATAGTACAAGGAACTCCCATATATAATTTACCCAGATTCATAAATTGTTTACATTATGTCCCACTACAAACTTTTTAAACTCAATGGATTAAGCAAATCAGCATATGCCCAAAGTCTGTTGCTGGGTAAACAAGGCTGACCTAGCTTTACGCAAAAGCGCTCCTCCTATCCCTTCCAGTCTCAGGCTCTATGCCCTAACCATCAGGGCACCCTCAAATCCCTAGCTCAAGTCTTCATGTCCGCACTTGCTGTCCCTTCTCCAAATCCCCCACTCCCAGCACTGCCCCAAAGGCCCTGCTCCCTCCCTGCTCCTCTGTACTCAGTCTGCAGGCATGGTGACACAGAGGTATACACAAAGCAAACTGCAAAAAAGGAAGCAGAACTGGCAGGAATTGATTTGATGAATTCCTTATAAAGAATGGTAAAATAAGGTTTTTCTCCAAGATGAGGACCTGTCATCTTTTAACTATCATCCAAGATTCCTCCGTACTTGTGTTCCTGGCAAGATGAGGCCATTCAACAGGTGCAAACTCTACTCATGCCCTTCCTTTCATATATCCTCTCTTTCAAGCCCAGATTTCTAATCACCGGCATTGACAAAAGCTGGAGAATTGAGTGTTCTTACCACCCACTGGTACCCCAATGAGAAGCACTCGGGGCAGAAGCCAACTGACCTTCAGGGCTTTGAAGATGACCCCCGGGTGCCGGGGAGAACGGGTAGTGTTATTCTCTAGTTGTTGCTCCAAAGCACGTCGAAGACCAGAAAAGTCTGTGGGAGGATTGTATGTCCTCGTTCCCTTGTAATGAATAGAACTGAAGGCTTCAGGGAAGCGGCCCAGCTTCCGGAACCGGTCCTGGATGAGCTTCTCGGGCACCTCAGAGGGGTGATCTGGACAAGCAGAAACAGGTACGTGAACAGTGGTCTCTCTTTAAAAGAAAAAAAAAAAGTCGCCTGTCTTTCATTATTAAAGGGATATATAGTCTGACTCCGTAAATATAAAGTACATAAACAGGCAGAACTGATCTATGCTGTTGGAATTCAGGTTACCTTTGCCTAGAAGGGAGCACAAGCTGGGACGTGGGTGCTGGTGTGTCATGATCTAGTACTGAATTCACTTATATGCTCAGCTTGTGAAAATGCATCACATATACACTTTTGATATAATGTGCACTCTTTGGTATGTATGTTACATTTCAAGGAAGTGCCTTTTTAAAAAAAATGTGCTCACTGTAAAAACTCCAAACATGGACTTCCCTGGTGGCTCAGTGGTTAAGAATCCGCCTGCCAACGCAGGGGACAAGGGTCCAATCCCTGGTCTGGGAAGATCCCACATGCCACAGAGCAACTAAGCCTGTGCACCACAACTACTGAGCCTGAGCTCTAGAGTCTGTAAGCCACAACTACTGAGCATGTGTGCCACAACTAATGAAACCCACGCACCTAGAGCCCATGCTCCGCAACAGACAAGCCACCGCAATGAGAAGCCCACACACCATAACGAAGAGTAGGCCCCGCTCGCCGCAACTAGAGAAAGTCTGCATGCAGCAACGAAGACCCAACACAGCCAAAAGAAATAATAAATTTATTTAAAAAGAAAAAATCCAAACATGTCAAAGCATAAAAGGAAAGAAATGTACATCCTCTGCTCCCTCCTCCTCCTCGTCAAAGGTAACTACAGGCCAATGTTTACCCTTTCAGACTTTCTTTTCTTACTCAATTACCAACACATTTATGCAACTTGCTTTCATCACTTAATAACATACTGTAAATATGTGTCCTTGTCATGTTATACTCTGAGACATTCCTTATTCTTTTTTAACAGCTACACAGTCTTCTATTCTACGGACGTCTTCCACCAGTCACCTACGAACGAACATTTAAAATAAATAGCTACTTTGAAAGTGCTGGTCTTATGCTGGTGAAGCTGTGGACAAACTGCCAACGTGTGAGGGTATAAGCCTCCCCATAGTTTCACCAACATTTATCCAGAAATTTGGGGAGTAGCAGTATAAACAGATGCAATAAATATTTTGGAGATAAAACTTGGAAGGACTTTTTAATTTCCTTTAATACTTTAACAACAAAATCACTCCAATTAACACTGGAAATGTGGCTTTAGCTCATATTTAAAGGTACAGTCATCAAAGAGAAGTAGCCAAAATTCTGCAGTCAATCCCTAACGCCGTCTCCTCCTGAACTCTTCCTGTGAGTCACTCTTTTTTTTTTTATTTTTTTTTTTTCCTTGCGTTATGCGGGCCTCTCACTTTTGTGGCCTCTCCCATTTGCGGAGCACAGGCTCCGGACGCGCAGGCTCAGTGGCCATGGCTCACGGGCCCAGCCGCTCCGCGGCATGTGGGATCTTCCCGAAACGGGGCACGAACCCGCGTCTCCTGCATCAGCAGGCGGACTCTCAAGCACTGCGCCACCAGGGAAGCCCCTGTGAGTCACTCTTGAAGGAGCAGCCCATCAGCAAGTGACTTCTCCCAAAGGCACCCAGAAGCCTGACCACCATCAGCTTACAGCTTGTCCCTGCGGACTCTCAGCACTGCGCCACCAGGGAAGCCCCTGTGAGTCACTCTTGAAGGAGCAGCCCATCAGCAAGTGACTTCTCCCAAAGGCACCCAGAAGCCTGACCACCATCAGCTTACAGCTTGTCCCTGAACAAGTAATCGCTCCCAAATGATTATGGGAGCTTGGTCTGCTCGTTTGTAAAACAGAGATAATTCATTTGCCTACTAACTCCCACCTAGGAATCCTCTGTCCAGAAAAAGACCAGGATCTAACAAAATCCAAAAGTCTACAAGACAGAGAAATATGTAATTATCAATTTGCCCACAATTTTGGTACCTCTCCTACCCTGCATAAACTCTGGCTGTCTTGGTTCCATCTCAAGGTTTCAGGAAACAGTGATGGTATTCTAGAAACAACTCTGGATTTAGGAGTTAGAGACCTTGTTTTGAATCCCAATTTTGCAACCTGATAGCTGGAACCTCCTTGGTTACATAACCTAAGCTGAGTTCAGTTTCTTCATCTGTAAAATATGGCTGCTGTTGACTGAGCTGAATAACAAAGATATCTAAAGTTAGCATTTATTTTTAGAAAATGTTGGGACTTCCCTGGCAGTCGAGTGGTTAAGACTCCACACTTCCACTGCAGGGGGTGCAGGTTCCATCCCTGGTCAGGGAACTAAGATTCCACAATGCTGTGTATCGCAGCCAAAAAATAAAAATAAATTTAAAAAATAAATTCTCAAAAATATTTTTTAATGTTATTTTTGTTATTCAGTTTTTTTGTTTTTTTTTGTTTTTTTGGCTGTGTTGGGTCTCCGTTGCTGCGTGTGGGCTTTCTCTAGTTGCAGCAAGCGAGGGCTACTCTTCGTTGCAGTGTGCGGGCTTCTCACCGCGGTGGCTTCTCTTGTTGGGAGCACGAGCTCTAGAGCGCGGGCTCAGTAGTTGTGGCACATGGGCTTAGTTGCTCCGCAACATGTGGGATCTTCCCAGACCAGGGTTCGAACCCATGTCCCCTGCATTGGCAGGTGGATTCTTAACCACTGCGCCACCAGGGAAGCCCTCAGCATTTACTTTTTTAAAAACAAATAAATAAACAAACACCTAGCATAGTGCATGGCACACAGCCAAAAAAAAAGTTACTTTTGAAAGGCTAGTTATTTCAAAATCTTGAACTGGAAGTTAGACTTTCCCCTCACCAAAGCTGTAAAGATCCAAAGTGGCATAAAAATGCTGATCACAGGAGGCATCCTAAAGTCAGCATTTCCAACCCCCTCTCCTTATCTCAGAGTCACATGCTAATGAGGCTCTTCTTCCGTTCCGGAATATTTAGATTTCTCATCTTCCCACTAGACCCAGGTCCTTCAGATTCTAACTCCTTAATACAGTCCCAGACTGTCCACTTCCCACCTACTGCCCCTGCCCTGGCTCAGGCCCCATCTCTCCTCACCTAGTTCGGTGATAACCTTCTGGCCATCTCCCTGCCTCCAGGCATGCCTCTCTAGTTCATCCTGCAAAAGGCCTCAGGGGATCTTTTGAAAATACAGATCTGATCACGTAACTCCCTGCTTAAAATCCTTCAGGGGCTCTTGTCAAACTTGTGACCTAAATCAAGGCCATCCACACATGATCTGATCCGTGAGTATGTCCACTACTCCCTCCCACACCATCTATGCTTCAGACACACTGAGCCCCTTCATTCAGCAAATATCTGATGAGAGCCTACTGTGTGTCAAACACTCATCCAGGCTCTTCAAAGGCAGCAGTGAATAAGACAGGCAAGGTTCCTGCCTTCATGGAGTTTCCATTCCAAGGGGAAAAGGCCAAAAACAAGTAAGCAAACAAACAGGATGATTTCAGACAGCGACGGGTGCCCTGATGCACATGAACAAGGTGATGCAGTAAGACTGTGACCACCAGGGTGCAGGAAGGACCACTTTAAAGGAGACACTTGGGAAAGGCTCCGATGGGGTGAGAGCTGAGATGAATCTGAGAGAGGATGGCTAACTGGGGAAAGACTGTTCCAGGCAGACAGAGTAGCATATGCAAAGATGGGAACAGAGAAAAGGCTGGTATAGCTAGTGGAGAGAGTGAAAGGGGGTAACTAGAGAAAGAGTTCAGAAACAGAGGCAGGAGGTAGAGTGAGGACACCGTAATTAGGAGTTTAGATTTTTTTTTTTTTTTTTTTTTTTTTTTTTTTTGCTGTTTTGGGTCTTCACTGCTGCGCATGGGCTTTCTCTAGTTGCAGCGAGCGGGGGCTACTCTTCGTTGCGGTGCGCAGGCTTCTCATTGCAGTGGCTTATTTTGTTGTGGAGCACAGGCTCTAGGCATGCGGGATTCAGTAGATGTGGCATGCGGGCTCAGCAGTTGTGGTTTGTGGGCTCTAGAGCTCAGGCTCAGTAGCTGCGCACGGGCTTAGTTGCTCCACGGCATGTGGGATCTTCCCGGACCGAGGCTCGAACCCATGTGCCCTGCATTGGCAGGCGGATTCTTAACCACTGTGCCACCAGGGAAGTCCTGGATTTTTATTTATTTATTTTTGTCTGCATTGGGTCTTCGTTGCTGTGCGCAGGCTTTCTCTAGTTGAGGTGAGTGGGGGCTACTCTTTGTCGTGGTGCACAGGCTTCTCATTGCGGTGGCTTCTCTTGTTGCGGAGCACGGGCTCCAGTAGTTGTGGCACATGGGCTCAGTAGTTGTGGCTCATGGGCTCTAGAGCACAGGCTCAGTAGTTATGGCGCACGGGCTTAGTTGCTCCGCAGCATGTGGGATCTTCCCGGACCAGGGCTCAAACCCGTGTCATCTACACTGGCAGGCAGCTTCTTAACCAGTGTGCCACCAGGGAAGCCCTGGATTTTATTTTGATTTAGTGGAAAGCTATTGGCAGGTTGGAAGCAAGAGTATGACATGATCTAAATTATAAATTAAGCTTTTAAAAAAATCACTCCCCATGCTTTGTGGAGGATGCATTGAAGGGGGTGAGAATGGAATCCAGGAACTCACTGTACAACTACCTACAGTTCCCTGGACACAATGAGCTCTTCAAAATACTAGGGGTTTGCTCTTTCTGGAGCATCCTTACTCCCCTCCTCTATCTAGCCGAGTCTCTAGAGTTCAAATGTCACCTCCTCTTTCCTAGATCCCATAAGGAGGTGTAAAGCGTCCCTCTTCTGCATTCTCACAGCTCCAGGACCTACATCCACCACAGAACAGAACACGTGTGGTCTCTCCAACTAGACTACCAGCTATTCGAGGGTGGGAACTGTTTTTTGTTTTTCAGCTTGGGGCCCCAGTGCTCAGCACATGACATTGTGCACTTAATAGACTTTGTGGACTGAATGAATGTAAATAACGTAACTGTTTTAGGGGACCTACCCTAAAACACTACCGTCCTACCTGCATGCAATCACTGTCACTGCACCTGCTCCCTCATCCTCCCACTCAGGTGATGCTCTTGCTTCCCATTTCTTTAAGAAAACAGAAACAATAAGACAACTTCCACACACACATCCACCACATCTACCTACTTACCAGTAACCATGTCCATATAATCTATCTTCTCTTCTGCCGTTATGGATGAACTGTCCATGCCCCTAAGGTCAACCCTCCACCTGTACATCACTCCTGCTCTCTCTCTTACATCTGCAGTTCTTCTTTTCTAGTGAATCATTCCCATCAGTACACAAGTATCTGCAATACCTCACATCTTAAATTTTTAAAAAGGGAAAACTCCTTGAAGTCCCAAATCAGCCTCCAGCTATCACTTCATTTGTCTGCTTCCCTTTATAGAAAGAACTCTTTGAAAGAGGTGAATATACTACCTTAAGTTTTCTCCTTCTGTTCTCTTGATCCCACTCTGATTAGGCTTTCATGCCCACCATCCCTGGGAAACAGTCTTATCCAGATTCCCAAGGACTCTAAACCGCCAAAGCCAACAGGCAATTCTCAATCCACATCCTGATCATGAGCAGATTCTGACGTGGTTAATCACTCCATCCCTCTTGAGACACTTCCTTATGTCTTGCCCAAGCAGAAATTTTTCTGGGCAATCTACCACCACCAAGTTGCTACTGCAGCCCAGTGTACCCAGGAAGGTCAATGTGTGACACAGTACCCCATCTACTCACCAGAGCCTAGCAGCTGAGTGTGCACAGTCTCGTGGAAAATGATAACAGCAGGGCCCAGGGTGGACAGGGGGACATCCAGGCCACAGCGGGCAGTGGTAGCCTTGAGCTCCTTGGTGAAGTGCTTCAGGTAAGCTTCTGAGGCGTCCCCAAGGAACTTGAAGAGGTCATTGTGCAGCCGGTCTGCGTGAGTTCGATAGATGACGAGGTCTGAGATGGCCAGGACCTTAAGCAGCAGCCGTGTTCTCTGGCTTAGGTTCACTGTAGCCCCCAAGAGCCCTTCTGTGTCTATCACTGCTACTTTGTGGACTGGGTCATATGCTGCCCACACTCCCACAGTGCAGGACTCCTGGGCAGGGGAGGTTTTGAAGACTTCCCGGCCATAAAAGAAAGTGTGGTTGAGGGTATGAGACTTCCCATCCCCAGTATTTCCAAAAATGGAAACCACTTTCAGATGCTGATCAGGTTTGCAGTCCAATTTCCTAATAAAGTCCTCTTCATTCGTTACCTTCCCAAAAAAAGGAAAAAACAAAAAAGACAATGAAATATGGAAACTGTAAAATATCTAGAAACACCTGCAAGAAGAACAAGTGCTTCCCAGGGCCCCTTGATTGACTTGTCGAGGTGGCAAGGAAAAGAAGTCCCAGGATAAAGGCCTCTCACCCAGCACTTACCCCTAGCAAACAGCTAACGGGAACTTTTAAAGCCTCAGTCAGTATAAGAACTTAGTGGTCATGAAAGAGCGAAAACTACAAACTCTTAGAAGAAGACATAGGAGGAAATTTTATGACCATGGATTAGGCAATGGCTTCTTAGATATGACACCAAAAGCAATACAACAAAAGAAAAAAATAGATAAAATGAACTTCATCAAAATTAAAAGCTTTTATTCTGCAAAGGATTCCATCAAGTGAAAAGACAACCCAAAGAATGGGAAAAATATTTGCAAATCACATAACTGATAAGGGACTAGTGGTCCAGAATACAGAAATAATTCCTATAACTCAACAAGAAAAAAATAACCTAATTAAATATTAAGCAAAAAATCTGCAAAGACATTTCTCCAAAGAAGATATATAAATGGTCAATAAGCACATGAAAAGATGCTCAACACCATAGTCATCAGGGAAATGCAAATCAAAACCACAACGAGATATCCCTTCACACCCACTAGGATGGCTATGATCAAAAAGATAATAGCAAGTTTTGGTGAGAATATGGAGAAATTTCAGTGCTCATACACTGCTGGTGAGAATGTTAAATGGCACAGCCACTCTGGAAAACAGTATGCCAGCTACTCAAAAAATGAAACATAGACTTACCATATGTCTCAGTAGTTCCACTCCTAGGTATAAACCCAAGAGAACTAAAAACACATGTCCACACAAAACTTGAACATGAATGTTCATAGCAGCATTATCCATAATAGCCAAAGGTGGAAACAAGCCACATGTCCATCAACTGATGAATGGATAAATAAAATGTGGTATATCATACAATGAAATATTATTCAACCATAAAAAGGAAGTACTGATATATGCTACAACATGGATGAACCTTAAAAACATTATATTAAGTGAAAGAAGCCGGACACAAAATGTTACACATTCTATAATTCCATTTATATGAAATGTCCACAACAGGCCAATTCATAGAGACAGAAAGTATGTCAGTGGTTGCCAGAGGCTAGGGAAAGCAGGAATAGGGAGTGACTGCTAATGGTACAGGGTTTCTATTCAGGGTGATGAAAATGTTCTGGAATTAGCTAGTGCTAAGGGCTAATTTATAAATATACTAAAAACACTGAACTGTAGAATTGTATACTTTAAAAGGATGACAAATACATGGTATGTGAATTACATCTAAATAAAACTGTTTAAAAAAAACGAAGAACTTATTAGTCAAATTTCATCCATCCATAATTCCTCTGTACAGTTTAAAGAACACTGCAGTCCTTGTAAAAAGTCAGGCCAGGGGACTTCCCTGGTGGTCCAGTGGGTAAGACTCCATACTCCCAATACAGGAGGCCGAGGTTCAATCCCTGGTCGGGGAACTAGATCCCGCATGCATGCTGCAACTAAGAAGTCCTCATGCCACAATGAAGATCCCATGTGCTGCAACTAAGACCTGGCGCAGCATGAATGTGTGAATGAATGAATGAATAAATAAATCTTTTAAAAAAAAAAAAAGTCATGCCAGGAAGGAAGAGACCTGGTGCCAGTGAGATCCCAGACTGCAGCTCCAGAAAGATGCTCAGGGTCTCTAACTCTTAGAACCCCAGGGTCAAAGCTCCTAATTCAAATAGGCAGTGTTCTATTCCAGCTAAAGGAGTGATGAACCTTTACACCTAGCATCCTCCAGCCACAAGAGAAAAAACACTGCTGTCATTGTCACTGTCACTGTCATTGTTCTGTCATTAACACGGTTCAGCTGGGAACTACATCTCCTAGAATCCCTTTCCCCCTACGATTCTGGGTTAGAGTTGGCCAAAGAGGAACGTGCATAAAATCTGGAAGGCAGAAGTGAAGGGCTGGCCATCCCTTCCTGAAGGTCTTTTCACAGTCAGATACAGTACAAGTCATAATCAGAGGGGCCCTGTCAGTTCTCCGGCTGGATTCCCCAGGTCCCAAATCTTTTCTGTGTGTATTTTTGTTCCAAAGGCTCACACCTGCAGCTCTTCTTCAGAGGCCGGTTATCAGGCTACTAGAGTTAGTCAAAATCACCTGGGAGTTTACAGCCCCTGAGGGTGACCCTTGGAAATGACCTATGGCTGCAAACATCACGAAAGCTATGAGGCCACTCACATGCCAGAGCTCCCCTGGGGGCCAGGCTGGAGTGGCCTTTGGAGGCCTGGTTGCATCCTGCCTACACCACCCACAATAAGTCACTCACACAGAACCCTGATTCTCAAGAGTCTGCTGGTTTGATAAAGAGAAGTTAGAGAAATGTAGACAGACCACTGGGTGTGAAAATATGATGTCTTCATTTCTCATAACTCATCAAGATGGTAAACCACTCATAATTCTATTAATAACATCACTACTGCTATATTAATAGTCTTAATGTTAATGATAATGTTAATAATTTCATTTACTGAATGCCCACTGTGGTGACAGTGCCCTTCACTAGATCCATGAGGGCAGAACTGAGTCTATCTTTACACCCCTAGTACTTCGGACACAGCCTGGCACATAAGAGGAGTTCAATATCTAGTTACTGAATGAATGAATGCCAGGCACCTTGCTAGGTACTTTAACCACTTTTCTCCACCTTGTATCTTCCACAGGGCTTAACACACAGCAGCATTTGATAATGGGCTCACTCATCTCCCAAGCAACCGAGAGGAACAAGAAGTTACACAGAACAGCCCATTCTGGACTGGTGTCACTCAGTCAGCCTTGTTCCAAGCTGCTAAGCTGGACACAAAAGAAACAAAACAAAATCTCCATAAACCTCTATAAGCAAGGAGTCAGATAAGGTCAGAGGGCCTGCTGCAAGAGCCATGAAACAGTCCTGGGGAAGAAGACTAAGCCTAGGAGTTTTCTCCCCTGGAAATCTACTCCTTCATGAATCTGTTACCCAAAAAATAACAACTGCTATCCAGGATACTCAAGAGTGGGTACCTGAAAAGGGGCCTGTAGGAGCCGTTAGGTACAGAATTAAGTGTCTCAAGATTCATATTGATTAAGTACCACCAAATGACATACATAATATATAGAAATAGCTCATTCAAGTCAGCATTTGGGGATACTATTTTGGAACCAGGTGTCCTGGGATATGTTAAACATACAAGTTCATGTGTTGGGCATGTGCAGATGGGTCCAGTGCAAAGAATTCTGGGAGGTGGAGCTCAAACCTCAGGCCAATTTTTCTACCAAGGAGCCCTAGATGATCTTTTAGTATGCACTGATAGCACTTTTTCACATGTAAAATGAGGATATAACCATCTTTGCCTCCCCTGACTGGGTATTGGCTGCTAATCAAATCAACAGATAAATGAGAAAATGCCTGGCAAACTGAAACCATGCTTCATTTTTCCCTTCTGCATTTCACATTATTTTGCTCCCTGTTACGCTATTCAATTCATCCTTACCCTGTGGGCATCTTCCCCTGAGCCAGGAAGAAGAGAACAGCCTAGGTGGCAGCGAGACTGGTTTTCAATCAGGGGAGGAGAAGGTCAAGAAAAGATAAGAAGGGCTTCCCTGGTGGCGCAGTGGTTAAGAATCCGCCTGCCAATGCAGGGGACACGGGCTCGATCCCTGGTCCAGGAAGATCCCACATGCCGCAGAGCAACTGAGTCCGTCCACCACAACTACTGAGCCTGCGCTCTAGAGTCCATGAGCCACAACTACTGAAGCCCGTGTGCCTAGAGCCCATGCTCCACAACAAGAGAAGCCACAGCAATGAGAAATGAGACGTGTTGGAAATGGTCCTCGGCCCTTACATAACAGCAAAAGCAGAAGCAACACCCCAAAGCCGCTCCTCCTCAACCTCCGCCTTCAGTCCTCCTCCAGCTTGTGTGGACCTCAGGCAAGTCAGAAACACCCAATTCCACTCCTATCTTTGCCACTATGTGGCCTTGGAAAAGCTACTTAACTACTGAAGCCTCAGGGAAATGAGATAATAACAGATACTACTGAAAGGACTAAATGATAAAGCACACAAAGGGCACAGCACAACGCCTGGCAGCAGTAGACACTTGATGAATATCACTCATTATCTGTAAAGACGAGGCCACTGGGAAAGCCTCCAGGGGCACGGCAGCAGCACCAGCAGCGGGCTCGGGCCTGCTTGTGGCTCTGAAGTTGCTCATTCAGGGACTAAAGTAGCCAATGTGGTGAGATCTAAACTGTTCTATCTGAAAATGAAAGATCTCACTGCTTGCTCCTGATAGCTCCTTTCCACTCCTGGTAAGCAAAGCAACATAGTATTATTAATACTGACTTTATAGCTGACTCTTAGTCAAGGTACTATCTACTATCATATCCATCTTGAAGAAACCAAACAGTACACCCCTCTCTCTATCACTGTCTCACCCACAAAGCTTTTCACTTTGTGTAGAGTTCCAAGCAGAGTTTCTAAAATGAAATGTAACAGTACTCGATCATCTCCACTGTTCCAATTCAGAGTTCAAAGCAGTTTACAGCAGTGCAAAGTCAACCTCTGCCCCAAGCAGGCAATGGGAATGATGACAGTCTCCCTCAAGAAATTCCTTCTTAGGAACTTCCCTGGTGGTACAGTGGTTAAGAATCTGCCTGCCAATGCAGGGAACATGGGTTCAACCCCTGGTCCGGGAAGATCCCACATGCCGCAGAGCAACTAAGCCCATGTGCCACAACTACTTAGCCTGAGCTCTAGAGCCTGTGTGCCACAACTACTGAGCCTGCATGCCACAACTACTGAAGCCTGTGCCCTGCAACAAGGGAAGCCACCGCAATGAGAAGCCCGCACACCGCAACGAAGAATAGCCCCCGCTCACCTCAACTAAAAAAGACTGTGTGCGGCAAC